TTGCTTATTATACATTTTTCTCAATTTTGGAATATTCTTAATAAGTGCTCATTTAATTTGTCTAATTGAATACATAATCCCTTGCAAGTATTTTTTTCTCAAAAATATGTTTTTTATACATAGTGATTCAAAAAGGTGTTGGCAAACTTAAAATAACACTAAAATGAGGCTATTTATTCATTTCCAGGACGACTTATAATTGTTCATGCGGGTTCGCAAGATGGTTTTGTTCCTGGAGCCTGTCTCATTTTCAAGGCTGGCTGTGCCACTGGTGATTATCACGGTCAAATGAACCAAGAAAATTTCACGAAGTGGCTTACTGAAAAACTATTTCCTAACATTCCTCCTAATAGTATTATAATAATGGATAATGCACCTTACCATTCAGCTTTGGAAGACAAGCCTCCAACTAGATCTTCTCTAAAAAGAGACATCATCACGTGGTTGAGCAAAAAAGGTATAGAGCATGATCCTAATGCTAAAAAAATGGAGCTTTATGAAATAGCTTGTCTACATAGGCCACCATCTGATGAGAAAAATTATAAGATAGATAATTTAATAAGAAGTTTCGGACACACCCCACTTCGAACGCCACCCTATATGTGTCAGTTTAATCCCATAGAGATGATTTGGGCACAAGTAAAATTTTTCATTAGAAGCCATAATACAAGCGGCGAATTTACTATAAAAAAACTAGATGAAATTTCTAATAAGGCCATCGCTTCAGTAAGTGCCAGTGACTGGCAAAAGGTTATTGGACATGTTATAAAAATTGAAGATGAATATTGGGAAAAAGACAGTCTCATTCAAGAAATACAGGAAGAAATAATAATCAACATAGGAGGTGAAAGTGATAGCAATGACAGTTCCTCAGACAGTGATCATGACTCTAATCAGGATTGAAACTATACTAGATTGGCTACCTTTTAGAATTTTTAGATATTCATTTATTATACTATTGGTTTGTGGCTTTTAGTATCTCAGTAGAAAGTCTAATTCTATGTGTTGTTTATGGGTTATTTCATCAAGAAATTACTTTTTGTTTTCCTATATTTTTCTATTCAGTCAGATATTTTTGACTTGTTGTATTCTATTTTAGAAGAATGCATAATTTGTTTTGCTGTTCAATCATAATGCGTACATAGGAATATTACTTGTTGCCTAAAAAATATATTTATTTTGTTCTCAATATTCAGTGTTTGTGTATATTTATTTCTTATAATGTATGTTTGGTATCACGTCATTATGAATCGCAAAAAAATATTAATACTACCAGTTGTAATAAAATATAAATTCAATTAATAATTCAAGTCTCTCCGATCTCCGCCTATGACTCCATATAAAATCGTCTAATGGTAAGGTTTTTTCATCGCATTTCCCCCTTTCGTCCCTAGCAATCTTTGGCTGGTCGATCAATACTGCCCTTTTTAAGGACCTGAGTGATTTTCTTCTCGAAACCTCAGTTTGTTTTTTCGGTAAAATCAAGTTTCTTTGAAAATACTGAAAATAAGAAAAGTAGCAACTATAAATGTGGAATATTGTCATATAATTTTAGAGCTGCACTATTATTCGTTGACCAACTACGATTGCAGAAAAAATGGATAAAAAATGCATTTATTGATCAAAAAACAATGCTAATATTGGTTACTAGTCATCTCTCTATACACCATGAAGGTATCAGACGAAAATGATTAAAAACACTCCTTCAAACAAGTAAAAATCACCACTCATCCGCAGTTTTTCTGTTCGTGTGTGGCACCAGGCAGTTGCGTAGGTTGTTACAATATCTCGACTCCAACAATAAAACTCCATAATATATTGTGCATGAAGCTGAAGTACTTTGGATTTGCAGATAATGCGGTAAATTTAATAAGGGACTACTTAACTAGTAGGTACCAATACGTATCGGTAAACTCTTCATCTTCTGACAAAAGAATGATTACAATGGGTGTACCACAAGGGTCCATATTAGGCTCTTTATTATTTTCTTTATATATTTCAGACTTTTATAACTACGTAAAAACTGGCAAAATACATCACTATGCGGATGATACACAATTGTACTTCAGTTTTCAGATTGATCACATTTTGAACTCCTACTCTTTGATTAACGACGATATTAATATGTTATACAATATATCAATTGCACATGATCTAAGCCTTAATGCCAACAAATCAAAGGCAATGCTGTTTGGCTCTAAACAAAAACGTATGATTTCTAAGCATTCGTTTAATCTGAACATTAATAACATACCATTACCTGTAGTGGATGAGAGCAAAAATTTGGGATTGTGGTTTGATTCAGATCTGCGATTTAGTGTCCATGTCAATAAAATTTCCTCCTCAGCCTATAGTATGCTTAAGCAATTATATCCACAACTTCGTGTTTTAAATAGTAGCTTGAAAATGAAGTTATGTGGTGCCCTTATAATTTCTCGCCTATCTTACTGTGACAGCATATATGGCCCGGCTCTTTTAAAAAATGATTGTTTAAAATTACAGCGAGTACAAAATTCGTGTCTGCGCTTCTGTTTTGGTATAAGAAAGTTTGATCATATATTCAAACAACACAACATTCTAAGTTTAGATAGATTGAGAAAATTGCATTTCATATCAGTTCTCGTGAACAAAAAGCCGGAATACCTTTTAGATAGAATTTCAAAGTTTGAACATATCAATACATTATATACTAGAAATAGGCGAATGATCGTTATACCACCCCACTCAACATCAACCTTTAAACGCAGCTTTTCATATAACGCAGCAAAACGATACAATTGTCTCCCAAATGATTTTTATGACTTCTCTTTATTGAACTTTAAGAAAAAGCTAAAGAATTTGTATCTGTCTGAAGTGTGAAGGATCCTATATGCTGACTCTGTTTACGCCCACTACTTTTCTACTTGTCGTGTAATAGTTGATACAAAATACTTTTTCGTTACCTTCAAAAATGTATTATGATTTGCTGATAGGACGTTGGTAGCTACACCAGCAACAAAAGACTTTTAATCCTACGTTCCATTGAGAAAGTTATGGTAGTTAAATGGATGAGCTGAAACTCACTACATTTTTTTTTCTTTTTTTTATGATTAGTTCCTTTCTCTTAGGCACTAGGTTACAGAACAGTTATTATGACTATCATTAATACTTATGTTTATCTCTATTATTGTATAATATGTGTATGTTCATGATACAGATACAATTTTTTATTTGAGGTTGAGTTGAAAAATACCCCTAGGGTAACACTCCACCTTTTCAATTTTGCACTTTTGCGGTTTTCAAGATATCATTCTTTTGTTTTATTTTATGTATGCAAAGTTGAATAAAGGCACATTATTATTATTATTATATGAATGATGATTTTAACATTCAGATATTAGACTGACAGTTCCCAATACCAACGGAATCCGTATGTGAGTAGGAAGCATTATGTTTTTCAGTGACATCTTAAATCACTATTAAGATCCTTTATTAAAAGAAAGATCGTTCAAAAAGTGCAAACGAAATCAGCAGTTTTTCGGATAAGTTCGGAATGAAATTGAAACGGTCAGTGTAAAAATCTCGTAAGTCACATAATTTGAGTGTTTCAGGAGACAATAGTCACTGACAAATAAACCATTTTTAAAATACTCTTTTGAGCTAGTTTGAGTTCTACAAGATTGAAATCTCGAATAACCGAAAAGCTGTTATAGACTTAAGTTGTTAAATAGGAATAGTGGCCTATAATATAAGCAAAGCTTTCATTACCCTCACATATTGAATTATTAACATGCCGAATGTTTTAATTTTGTATGCTTTAATATTTTTATATTTCTATAGCATATAGAGGAAACCCGGGCAAAGCGAACACCGTAGAAGTCTAATTCTCGTTTTACGTCCAAACCATGAATCGACCCTCGTGAAAAAATAGATAGACTTTTTCGTTCAACTTCCTGCAATAAGAGGCAGTCTGTTGCAGAAGAATTCACCTATTTATGTGACTATAGTTGTAGTCACCGTTCTAGGCGGGTCAAAGTAAGACTACATCTCCCTCATATATACACATGCAACCTACCCCTGTGTGTGAACGTTTGTTCGATAAGACATACCTTTTTTAGATGCGTGTCTCCATCTCGAACACTTTGTCGTTACGCATGAGTGCCCTTTAATCATATTTGTCAGAGTGACAACTTACTTGACATCGGCGTGCAATACGAGTTGTCCTGTTATCAATCTTCAATATAAAGTTGTACAATGGCCGGAAATACGATCATTGGAGAAGGTCAACAGCTCGTGCTAAATATATTTCCGGAAGTAGGATGAAAACAGCGGTCCCCTGTTACCCACTTCATGCGTACTGGAGAAAATAGCAGATGCGCTGAAGGTCACTCTGCGCAGTGTTCCGCCCATGGTACGGAGACTCGATATGTTCACTTATTTCATATGGCGTTGCTGACGTAACTGCCGAGAACGGTGACTACAACTATACCAGACATCATGATATATTTGAGAAAAAGAAAAAAGTGGCATTGCATGATAAGTGTTGTGGGTATACCATCTTTATACTTTCTATATGGACAGCTATTTAAAATATTTAGCGTATATTTAAAGAACCTTGTCGGTCATACAGATAAGAACTGAGTCAATGGATTTGGTAAGAATAAAACAACTACTAAAACGAGATTTCAGGCAAAGCGGAAGGGTGTAATCTTATTTTTGTAGTTAGTGCATTTAAAATAGATTAAAATAGATATATAGCACATAAATATGAATATAAACAATACAGGGATATATGTACCTACTCTTCAAGTACTCGCAGTTGGGTAGTGCATGCAAAAACCACGTAAGTCCTGAACACACGATGTTTTAGCACTGAACGAGTATTAAATGCTGTTACTTGAAAGTAGTGACGTACGAGATGCATTCCCATAGTAGTGAAGCGTTTTCAGTAGAAGTATGTCAGTAAAAAATAGAGTAAAGCGCTTTTTGCGCTGACCGATCCAATTATAAATTTTACAGACCTTGTGCTGCAGCCCATTTGACGACATCTTCATGTAGTGTATAGGTGTAAGGACCGGCTTCAGCACAAAGGTCCACTATATGCGGAGAGATGATTCCAGCGTGTTTTAGAAGCACCATATACTCCATTGTATGATTTGCTCTGCCTAAGTCCTCTTCTGGAGTCCTGAAACAGAATGCACTCTTATGTCGTAGTATCCAGCAAATGTAATATTGCTGTTAGCGAATGAAATCATCTATTAAAATTTTTGATATGTACCCCAGAATTCCGTTTTGTTTGATTGTGGAATTGTCCATGTTCGTGTTACTAGCTTGAGCCATAGCAAAAAGTAAATTGAAATGGACTGACGCATGCATATAATAAATCTGTTTGAACTTTAAGGTGCACTAAAAAATTTTCTACACTCTAAGGGCGGTGAGTAGTAACCTAGAAACCTCAAGAATCTTGTATACCAGAGATAAGATAATGTTTTTTTGCTAAGGCTACACAGTTCTGTTACATTCATATACGGTACCATTTTCACCACGTATTTTATATATTTTCATCAACAAGCATAGTTTTAAATTCTCTTGCTTGGGTCTGACTACCATAAGACTGGGTACGTTTTTAAGTCGAGAGGTAGGGTAGGGTGCCCCAAGTCTGCGCACTTAAGGTTTGATAAGCCGTAGAATCGTGAATCAATAACCTATTGTAATAATCTTAATTTCTATTTAGGCTCACATTAATGTACTTTGTTAATTTAAGTTTTATTCAAACATCTGATAACAATTTTGTTAGTAATTAAAAAAAAAGACAAAGATGTAAATGCGCAGTCTTACCACTACGGGTCCCTGGATATTGCGCATTCAGATCGTTAAGATTGCGCATAGATAACAAAAACTTAAAAGTAGGAACTAAAACAGAATAAGGTATCTTAAGCGCATAAATCGCACTTAAACTGTCCAATGCCTACGTAGGCCGTACATTTCTCATGCCACCATCCAGAACAAACAGAACAACCGATCCAATCCTCTGTAATCGGCTCTTTATACTCCTCATTGCAGCCACCGCATGCCCATTTCTTTTTTTTAGGATATTTTGAAGGCTTTCTGCAAACTTTTTTCATTTTTTTCTCAGGAGTTTTCTTCAACTGATTCTCTACTAATAGCTGTTCTTTATATGAAGAACCACTAAGTATTTCAGATTTCTTATGTTTTCGCTTGTTTGCGGTCTTTCTTATACCTGATTTTGGTATAGGGCAAATATCTTGGAGTTTCACTTTGATTGCGGCCGATTCATTGCTGCAAGATGGTACCTGTGCAGGAACTTGGAAGATACCACCATTTTTTTCAGCTGGAGGACCGTCGAAGTTTTTCTTTTGCCCTGACTCAGAACTCACAACTGGTTCGGCTGGAGCTTCTGTTACTAGAGAAACATTCTCAATTGCTGTAAAAGCGTTCCTCGGAGTTGATGGTTTTCTTGGCTCCTTGTTGAAAACAGAAGCACGAGGCTCATTATCCATAACTGGTTCTCTCTGTTCATGGGGTGTTGCTTCTTGAGGATTCTCCTGTTGTGATTCTGAACATTGGTTATCATCCATTTCTCTTTCGGTCACAGCACTAGGAAGAAAATCTGCATCTGTGAAGATATCTGGATTGTATGGGTAGATTCCGGACACCTTGAAACATTCAGCAGCACAACCAACTGTAGCTGCTTTATTAAACGCTGGAGTGAATAAAGACGTCATCTGAAAAGCAGTTATAGCTCTGCCAGGGTGGTTTCTCATCCATTTTTCACATTCGCTCGCAAAATAAGTCTTCAACGCACTATGAAAACCTTTGTCTAGTGGTTGCATCTTGTGGCTGCTGTGTGGAGGTATGGTTAGAGCTATTACGTTATTCGCTCGATAAAAGTCTACAGCCCCTATTGTACAATGCGACACATGATTGTCAAGAACCAGAAGGATAGGCTGTTCTTTAGTTGGTCTTGTGTGATCTTTAAAGTGACCTAGCCAGTTTAAAAAAAGTTCACTATTAATATAACTTGTGTCTGAGACCATTCCAATAGACGCTGGTGGTGCGCCATCCAGCAATTCTGCTTTCATCCTTTTGCGACCGAATATGAAAGCGGGAGGAATGAAGTGTCCAGATGCACTCATAGCATTCACTACGGTTACGTTCGTTCCTCTTTCAGCGCTAGAAATCTTATTAACAGCGCGCTTTCCTTTTTTTGATATGACCCTTGGAGGATTGTTGGGTACGGTGGACAGACCAGTTTCATCCATATTATAAATGGAAGTTGGAGGAAACTTATACTTGTCCATCAATTCTGCTAGATTTTTGTAGAACCTTTCACATTGTGGCTTATTAAATCCCATCGCCCTAGCAATACTTGTGGAAGTTGGACGTCTTAGTGAAAGATCTGGGTGCCGACTGAGAAATCCACGAAGCCAGTGTTTGCCTGCCATTTTCTTTTCGGCATTGAAACGATGAGGAATATTATTTTTCACCACAAACTCGTAAGCAGCAATCCTCAAATTCTTAGGAGTCATCCCTTGAAACATATTGTCAAGATCTTCCAAATAATTACAAAATTCCTGTTCAATTTCGGGAGAAAGAGTTGCATCATATCTACCAAGCTTTGTTGCAGCTTCTTTTCTCTTCAGGCGATACCGCAAAGTACTTTCTTTCATCCCGTACGACGATGCTACTTTTCTTTTGCTTTCACCATTTTCTATTCGTCTTCTAGCTTCCTCTAAAACATATTGAGGGCACAGCGAACGTTCCGACGACCTTTTTCTTTGATTAGGCATTCTGAAAATGAATATTTAAGGTTGTTATATCAAATTAAAAGTTATGGTAGGGTAAGTCTGCGCGCGTAGTGTTACGGACCGTGACTCTGCGCAGTCTTAGGGAATAGCCCAATATACAATTATGTGACTCCTAACGCCATCTATTGAAAATATCAAAAATTATATCGCTCGCCGGCTGTATAGGTTAAATCACGCAAACGAAAACACTGGTCAAATCTTTGATAGTACTTCAGGCTTTCATGTAATTACAGTTTGAAATTGAGAAACAATAACATCAGAATCGATATTTAACTTCAAACTTACCTTGCGACTAGGTTTTGATAGGTTTTTGGTTTGTTTTTTCTACAGCGCACTCACTCACAGCAACGGCCCAGAACACGAGAGAAGTTAGTCGACAATGCCATTTTGCTTTCGAAATATGGAAGCTGCGCAATCTTACCTCCTGCGCAAAGTTAGGGCTCCCTACCCTACCGAGAAACTGAGTTTGAGATTTTTGGAACAATTTGTCCACTCCGAAAATTCTACCGGTATCTACTAGGATCCTGAGACACGACAGCAAAGCAGTTTTGAAGACGATTTGAATTTTTTCATTTTTCATATACAGGGTGCGGCAGACAGAATGGACGGTTTTAAAAAAATCATAAAATAGTTAATTTTTACTCGAAAACAAATTTATTGATGGAACCAGGTTCACAAGGAAATAGCATTTGACGCAGTCAAGTGTGGAAAATAACATCAGGCATGTGGTGGCCGAAATTGTTGATGCAGTGCAGGAGGCGTTCTTGGAAGTTCGCGTAGACTCTCTCCAACATCGCTCTCTCAACTTGGGCGACTTCCACGCGAATTTCGCCCTTCAATTTGTCCAGAGTCCGGGGCTTGTTCGCGTATACTCTAGCCTTGAGGTGTACCCATAAGAAAAAATCGCATATGGATAAATATGGGGACCGAGGAGGTCAATGAACATTGCCAAACCTGGAAATAAGGCGACCAGGGAAGAGAGGGTGAATAACGTCCATGGATGCTCGGGTTGTGTGGGCGGTCGCCCCATCCTGCTGGAACCACACACGTCGGATTGGAACACGTCGCCGTCGTAATTCAGGGAGAAAGAAGTTAGTGATCATTTCGACGTAGCGCTCTGAGTTCACGGTAACATCACGACCATTACCGTCTTCGAAGAGGTAATGGCCAATGATGCAAGTTTGCGATACAGCGCACCCAACCGTTACTTTTGGACTGTGCAGCGGTCTTTCGTGTAACTGTTGCGGATTTTCATTAGCCCAATAACGACAATTCTGCCGGTTAACCATGCTGTTTAGGTGAAAGTGGGCTTCGTCACTCATAGGCGAAAACGCGGTGCTCCACCGTCCAAGGCTCCATAACGACAACTGGTAAAATAATGCTAGGATCTCACGAGTCAAACGGCACCCTCCCCACCTCTCGCATAGACGGAGGCGGAGAGTACTACCCATCGCAAAAACGTCCGTCCTCTCTGCCGCACCCTGTATAAAACCCACAAAGCGTTTTCGTTCTTAGCATGATAGGCTAGTGTACATTTTCACCATAAACCAGACGGTATTATCCTATAGACAGACCAACGATTTCTGAACAGACAACAAACGACAGAAAGGCACAGACACGCAAAAAACATTTCATTTTCGAATATCTCCAAGGTTATAATATTTCCTTGCCAATTATCACAGAACGATAATGTTATTGTTATACTGAACCCTTAACTTTGAACTTACCCTGTCAACCACGTATGAACTTTTGCCTTCAAAAGGAGCATATCATTTTTGTTGCCTTTTCACATTTGATTTGACGTTTTCTGTATCAATTATATACATTCCATATCAAATTATTTTGTCTTATTTGTATTTTGTTCATTTTGAGTATATGGCATTATCGGCCGCAACCGATTTGACTGGCTATGATAGAAATAGGTACGAATGTTTAGTGTTAAATATCAACTGTATTTTAGTCTATAAATCGCAACAGATATCTGTCAATAATTTCAGCTAAATAATGGAGCATAGCATCGAAATCAAATAATAGCAAATGTGACTGCTCCAATTAATACTAGAATAAATAATGCATAGTTTATAATGGAAAATGGCATATTAAATCACTATGGCCGGAAATCATTTGGTAAACAGGCTGTTGCTATTTATTAATATGAATGCTGAATACCGTTTGACCTCTGGAATACTACTCAGCAACTCAGATACAGGGTGTTATAGGGCTTCTCATATATTATTTACATCTACATATGTAGCGTCCATATGTCGGAATTGTATATTGGATGGAAAGGTTGTCTTTTCGTTTCATGATGGTATCCGATTGTTGTAATTTTTAAATATTACCTCAACAGGATGAC